TGACAATTTATATGGGGTCTTATATTTGACCCATGTGTACGCTACCTAATATTTAAATCAGGTAGAATGTATCCATTTCCTCCAACATTTATCATATCTCCACGGTGAGAACATTTGAACCATGTAGTGTCTTGAACATAGAGGTCATTATTGTTATCTACAGGTACCATATCATGCAGTACATGCCCGGACTCTTACCCCATCTGAGAATAAAACTTGGTGCCCTTGGTGCTCTGGGTTAGACCTCTGCCCTCTTGCCTCTCCTGTCCTCCCTGGCCCCTGAGAGCCATTGTTCTATGATCAGCTCTTTAAAAGTTTGCACACTGGTGAGAGTGCGAGGCATTTGTCTCTGGGCTCAGCATGGTGACCTTCCAGCTCTATGTGTGCTGATGTAAATGGTCTCAGTGTTTAGATCTTGCCCTGATTTGTAGGGAGTCATAACTTACCACCTTGTTCTTAGAGGGAGGAAGGAAAGGGAAGGCTGAGGGATGGTGAAACCTATCTTGAGAGAGCAAGGGCCCATTCTGATTCTCCTCCCAGATGAGGAGCTTCCTACGCAGGGGCCAGAATGTTTCATGTGTGGGCAGCACAGTGCCCAGTGGCATGTCCAGGCAGGGACCGTGGGTGTGTTGTTGTCACGGGGTTTGGAGGTGTTTGTGCACGCACTTGGGAAAGTGTGAGTAGCCTTAGGAAGACAGATGCATGATTCGTGGAAATGATATGACTTCTCACAGTGTCGTGTTGTAAACAACATTGCGGAGGAGTGTCAGCAAGGAAAGTTAATCTCCTTGAAGCTAAAAATAGGAGCCCTTGACTCTTATGTAGAAAAGGTATGTTTAGCAAAGGATATAAGCAGAATTATGGCTTTTAAAAATTTTTTCTTAGCCAGGCATGGTGGTGTATGACTATAATCTCAGCACTCAGAAGGCTGAGGCAGGAGGATCACCATGAGTTTGAGGCCAGCCTGGGCTACATGGTGAATTTAATACCAGCTTAGTGAGATCCTGTCTCAAAAAACAAAAGAAGAGGACAATTTTTCTTGTCTTAGGCAGTGTGTACGAGGTTACTAGGTCAAGGAACGAGCGAGTTTTCTCAGAATAGTTTTATAAGCAAGGATTTGGTCCATAAAGTTGATATTTGTTGTTTAAAATATCTGGTTAGCATTGTTCTTAACGTGACACATCAGGTAAGACCTGTCTCTACCATTTCCTGGCGAGAAGGAAGGTGGATTCTTTTTAAATCTATGCAAATAAGTATAATGTATGTTCTGACTCAATAAACAGAGTCAATGAGAATTTTTGAATTCTGAAGGAATCAGGCAGGGAGAATAAGATGTTATTTACAGATACTTCAGTTTATGAAAGCAGAGTTGATTACATTGCTATGATCTGTAAAAAACAAAAACCTCCCTGAAAAAGCACTTTTTGTATTACCAGAAAATGGAATGTGAAAATGATACCAGCAAATAGTAATTCTTAGTCCACTGGATCTTAGTCCAGTGGTGTCACAAATCTGCTTGCTTTTCTTTTCTCTTTCTCTCTTTTTTTCCTTGTTACCTGGGATCAAACTCATGACCTTGTGCTTTCCAGGCAGAGGCTTACCACTGAGCTAAATCCCCAGCCCTGCTTTTCTATCAGAATTCAGGAAATTTTGCCTCAGTCTACTGGTTTGGCTCAAAGTTCCTTAGGTGTCGCCATCAGACAGCTGTACCCCCAAGCAGCTGGCTGAGCATCCTTCCAGTGAGGCCCTGTCCGGTGTTTTTCATGGGACGAAACATTCTGGTGGGTGGCCGATGGCAGAAAACTTTCAGGGAAACATTTAAGTGAAACAGGGTAGCAAAAGTATTTGTAGATGATGGAGAATTAAAATGGGTGCGGTAGGGGTGGGGCTGGGGATTTAGCTCAGTGGCATAAGCGCCTGCCTTGCAGTCGTGAGTTCGATCCCTGGTACCGATAAAAAGGAAAAATACAAAAAAAAAAAAAAAAATGGGCGCGGTTGATTTATCACTGATAATTTTCTTTTTGTTTTTAGTTTTTGTTTGAGATGCAGTCTTGCCGTGTAGTCTAGGCTGGCTTCAAACTTACAGTGATCCTCCTGCCTCAGCCTCCCAAGTGCTGGGATTATAGTCATGTGTCACCACACCTGGTCAACTGATAATTTTCAAAAATGAAAGATTTGATGACAGTTAAAACAAGAACAAAACACTGGATACAGAAATTGGGGCATTTCTGTCGCATGCAAATCAAAACAACAAAGTCAATCCAAAAAGGTATTAGACATATTATCTGTCATCATACTCTGGAAGACTATTTTCAAAGAATATACGAATGTTACGTCCAGTTTTCAAGAATGAGTGAACTGGAAGCTACATCTTGATATAATACCTGCTGGTTGCTGGGGCGGAGTTGTGGATTCTCAGCCTGCGCACCCCTACGCTCCGGGGAGAACCATCTGACTTGCCTCTGCCTGGCTTTCCTGGCAGGTTAGAAACAGAGTCTAGGCTCCTTCCATCCTACTTCACATTGCCTGGGATTTGCTTCAAACACTGCCCTGTGATTCTTCAGTCAAAACTCCCATTTTCTCTCCAACACACTGACACACATTAAAAGGTCATTGTCTTTCTTTACTGACAGGAAAGGTAAATGATACATTCATGTGTCACTGTGGGGAAATGGACTCCTGTCAACTTCTTGAAAAGCAACCCAATAAAAATGTCTTACCATTTTACCCAGTGTTAACTGAAGAGGCACAAACAATGTGAACATTTTGAACATTCACCAGTTGGGAAATGTTTGAGTAAACCGTTGCATATTTAGTATTAAACAGATGTTAAAAAGAATTATACAAATCAACCACGACAAATGTCCATGGTATATTACGCTAAAAGATCAAATTATTTGCAGTGTATTCTCACTTCAATTTCAAAAAGCAAAAAAAGGAAAATGACAACTACTTCCCCAAAGAGCCTTGAAATATATTAGAACAGAGGAGGTCACACATCCAAATTCTATCTATGTATCTATGCATCTGTCTATTTATCTGTGTATACTAGGGATTGAACCCAGGGCCTTTGCACTGAGCTACGTCCTTAGCCCTCTTTACAGATTATTATTTTTTTTAAGTTTTTTATTTTATTTTTTTTATCGGTACCAGGGATTGAACTCATGACCGCCTGCTTGCAAGGCAGGTGCTTATGCCGCTGAGCTAAATCCCCAGCCTTACAATAAAATTTTATTTATTTATTTTATTTTTAATTTTTTTTATTTAAAGAGAAAAAGAAAAAAACAGAAAAAGGGTACAAGTAATACAAAATTTAAAAAATAAACAGAAATCACTAGTTAATAGATTACATATTCTCATCTTAGAAATAGTTGTTCAAGTTACAAAATTGAAGCATATAAAGTGGACTTTCAAACAGTGAGAGTGCAAACATTTTTGTTCAATGATCCAAAAAAACTCAGTAATATGGTTATCTGTCTTATACACCTAAACATATATGCAGTTATAAACTTTAGAGCACTTTCTTTTCTTTTCTTTTGTACAATGACAATTACACATTTTGGGTTTTATTACTCCCACAGTTCTTATTACTTTTTTTGAGGAGAGTAACACCAAATGCGACATATCAGAACAGAGTCAGTCAAATCAAAAGGATGGACATAATAGATAATGTAAAAACAAAATATAAGGTGATCAACAATGGTTACCGTACTGCCTCTTGCTATTTTAAGAAGAATTGCCAGTTATAATAAACTTGAACAAAACAGTAAAGAATAAAACCAAAGCATTGGAGACATTACAGGACTTTAAAAGAAGATAATAGTCAACCGGAATGGGCGTCATAGTGAATCTTACTGTCTTCACAGTTGTTGCCTATACTTTCGAACTTGGTACTATCAAGCAAAGCAGAATAGGAGAAAATCAGTCAAAGCAAGATGGTGAGGGCTATACAAGGTTTCAAATCAAGTTAATAGGAAATCAAAGTAGGTTACTATAATGTATCCTGCTATTTTTTATTTATTTTTCCCTTAATTAAAAAGATAAAAAGAAAAAAGTAAATAATTAAAAAAAAGAAAGGGAATTGAGATAAGAGAGGGCATAACAACAGAACAGCGCAGGTCAAAACATAACCATTTAAGGAAAATAGTGTTTCACCACAAGATATCCTGACATAAAAATAGTTACCATAGTGTCTCTTTCCTTGAAATCTAATAAAATTTTATTTAAAACAGTAAAAAGTCAGAAAAGGAAAACCAAAAGCAAAAAGCATAAACAACAGCAGATTCAAAACAGTAACAATACAGGTCTTCAAAACAAAATGAAAGGAATTTAACAATGGTTGTTATATTGCATATTCACCTTTTTTCAAGTAAAGAGAAGAATATTAAAGAAAATATAAAACAGAGAAGAAGGTAGAACAATACTGAATTTAAAAATTATCATAGAATTGCTAGTTGTTACATTTCTCATTATTGTCTTAAAAAAGTAGTTGCCACAAAATCAAAGCATGAATTTATAGAAGTTTTTAAAAAACAATTTTGAGACCAAGGTCTTCACTAAGCTGCCAAGTTGCCCCGACTGGGCTTGAGCTTGTGATTCTTCTGTCTCTGCTTCCCAGAATGCTGGATTACAGTGCGTCACCATGCGTGGCTTTCAAATTTTTAATACTGCTTCCCGTGGAAGGATTGAGATGGAGCAGGCACGAATGGCTTATTTTGCTCCCATGAATCTTAAAGTGTATTTTCAGAGACTGGGAACAACTTCATACCCCACAAAAGCATCAGGCAGGATAGGTGGGCCTGTGCTGGGCCCTGAGTCGTGGTGGGGCTTTTCTGCCTGTTTTTCTCACCTCTCCACCGGCTGCGAGCCGTCCCACTGGCGAGGGCCGGTTTTGCTGCAGATGACATGAGGGTGAAGACAAATGTAACTGGAACAGTTAAAAGACACTGAATTATGATCCTCAAGAAAATTCTGAAATATCTTCAATTTATGTGATGCAGGTGGCCAAATCGCCGGAAGAAACATCTTCCCTTCCCAATGGTGAGGTAGCAGGAGAGGCAGAGGGCACCACCGAGGTAAGGGCTGGCACCGCCCCCTGCCGGGGTCCTGGAGGTGGTTTCGTGGGCCTATCTTTTTCTCTGTCTTCTGTCTACACTGTCCATCCATCCATCCGTCCATCCATCCATCCGTCCGTCCATCCATCTGTCCAGCCAGCCATCCATCCACCGTGCCTACCCTGCTGCCTGTCTCATTTCTCTCTTCACCCACGTTCATCTTCCATCACCTTCAGAAGCCTTGAACGGGTGACCTGAAACCCCTCACTCGGCTCGGCCATTTATTATTGTCACACGCACATCAGTCTGCTGGCTGACACCAATAGGCCCAACCAGTAATTTGGGGGTCTGGCAAGTTCATGCTGTAGGAGCTAGGTGACCTTGTAAATGGAAGGCTGATGCTGGCTTGATCTATACACCGCGGTCTAGTGCAGAAGCCCCCACAGCTGTGCCCATGTTTGTCCTTGTGATTTATCGACTGTGAGTATCTCAGTTACTTTTCTTGTTGCTGACACAAAACACCCAACACCCACACGTTCAAGGAGAGAGAGGTTTTAGTTAGTCACAGTTTGCAGAGGTTTCAGCCCATAATTGGCCGGTCCCACGTGGCAGAGTGGCACGGCAGAGGGGCGACAGTTCATGGCGGTGGGGGCAGAATCATCGAGGGAGAGGGGACAAGCCTCCTTCTGTCCCTTGTATCACACTTAGGCTACCTGCCCCAGGGGAGGAGTGGCACTCACATCCGTAATCCCAGCGCCGAACTGTGAGTCAGTCACAGACCCTAGGTTCAGCTGCCCACGTGAGGCTCGGGGGAGACATCTGGACACAAGCTGTCACAGTTAATGATGCCCTGGACTTCTTTCCTGACCAGGGAACAGAGAAGGCTGAAGACAGTGGCGAGAACGAGGGACAGGACGAGAACAGAGAAGATGCAGGGAACCCTCCCGAGGCCCAGCAGAACGTGAGTGCTTGCTTTTGGCGCAGTGGTTACTTTGCTTTTAGGCCTGTTCTCAGCTTCCTGGGCTTCTGAGGGCTGCCAGGGAGTGAGTGCTCAGTGGCAGGAAAGCACATGAGGCCCCGGAGGTCAGTGGAGAGGGAGCTGGTGATTTTCATTCAGCTGACAGCGGTGGACCAGGGGCTGAAGAGGGGCCAGAGGTAGGACCCAAGCCCCGACTCGGAGGAGCCGGCTGCCCGGCCCTTTAATGACGTGTTGTGTTTTCAGAGGTAGGTCAGGTTCGCGGTCCAGGTCAAACTTGGGTCCTTTTTCGCTGGTCTTAAATGATGACCAACTCAACTGCCCCAAGGACTCCTGGGGAACAAAGCTGAGGAGGTGCAGGACATTTTGGGGACACTAGTAAGGGCTTGATAAGAAAGGGCACATGGGAGGAAACTGATGTTCAAGCCTGTCTGGGGTAGCAAATTCTGGAAACCCAAGGCGTAGGGTCTGGTTCCTAAGGGGTGTTCTTCAGGGGTAACCAGATAACCACAGCGGGTGAGGGCGGAGAGGGGCTCTGTAAGAGCCCAGCAGGGTTAAGTAGAGGATATCAGGGAACAGCATTTTCAGCAATTCCAAAACCATCTGAGGAGCCAGTGGGGCTAGGGGTAGGCAGTCCCTCCCTGAGCCGCCCTGCAGGGGACTTCCAGTGAAAGCATCAGGAGAACGTCATAAAACACTGGACATATCACATCACAGTGTGTTCCTGTTTGTATTTGGCTTTTATCAAGGTAAATACTTTTACAGGAACAGTAAAGTTACTTGGAGTCGCATTCACTGGCAGCCAGTGGCCCTGTCTGAAAATCTGCACCCTTGGCTTGATTGACTACCAGTGATGGTTTCACCCTCGGGCCCCCCAGAGCCAGCCTGTAGGAAAGTTCCCTTCCGGCCAGGTGCGGCCTTCCCACCCCCTTCTCCTGGCTCCTTGAGCCCAGCTGCCCTCTCTGTCCTCTGCTTCTGCTCGCCACCCACTGTTGACACTCAGCACCACTGACACCTGTCCTTGGTGCTGGCCACGTGCTATGCCAGCAGCCTGTGGCCCTGGCCACGGTCCCCACAAAAATAGCTGCTGTGGAAGATCCTGAGATGTCCCACAGCCAGACTGCTGCCCCCTGGCTTTCTCAGAATACCCAGGTGCGATGACCTCAATTGCATGGTCAAGGTGTCGCACGCACATGTGCAGAGATCCCTCGAGATTGTGCAGTCCTGGAAGGGCGCCGGGCTCTGCACAGACGCGCAGTGATGTAATTGCTTGTCGGCCGTAAGACTCAGTTCAGCACTGTACGGAGGACTGGTAGGATTTGCTGAATTCTGCTGAATTCTGATACTGTGCAGTTTTGTGAGCAGAATATGAAAGCTTGTCGTCTTTTTAAAAAATTGATAGATCTTACCTCATCCCTCGTGTTTTTTGTGGCAGGAAAAGCATTACTTTAACAGGAGCATTCAGCTTTCATGAGCGTGCTAGGTCGCCCTGGGATCAGTCCCAGTTATCCTGTGTGAGCTGAGACCAGCGGTTACTCCGTGAGAGCCCTTCCTGCCCTCCAGGCTGGCTCTAAGCTGAGCTCCTTGTCACCACCAAGGGGTTGCTTGGATGCTGGAAGCTGGATGCTGTTGATGGAAGTGATTAGATTTAGGGAAACACAAAACTTTTCATAACTGACCATTGTGTGCTGTGGATGGTGAATTTTAATCAAACCCTAAGTAGGCGAGAAGAAAGCGAACTTGACAGCTGGCGAGTTCCTAGCCTTCCCCATACCCAGTTCCTGAACACAGGTTTATATCTTGGTTCTAGACAGTGGTTGGGGGCTGCACAGCCCACAGATCGAGTAAGACCCAGGTCCTATCCCATGAGCATGCAGACTAGGGGGAGGCAGAGACCGTGATGGCTGTGGGAGCAGTTAGGGGACCCCCTAACTCCATCTTACCGTGAGGAATGTCTGCCTTGCAAAAGTCATTCTGAGCAGGCTCCTGGGCAGTGTGAGAAAGTGTGTGCCCTGGTTTGGCTGAAGAAAGTCTGGCAGTTTACCCTGATGGGAGTTTCTAAACATGTGGGCAGTGGTGAGGCTCCTTGTCTCCTGGAGTCCTCTCTCTGGCCGCAGCGTGGAGAGCACTTTGGAAATGTAGAAGGACAGGGGGCTGTGATGTCCGGGTGAGCGGAGATGGCAGGATGGGGCATGATGACACCATCACCATGATGACAGCACCCAAATTTTGCAGCTGGCACCAGGGCTGTCTTTTTCTGGATATTTCTTTGGCGCAGACACTTGGTGTGTCCTCAGTGATGTCCAGCATGAGATTTGCTTGATGATTCCCAAGGCTAAGATGTCCCCGGGCCCCTCTCAGACTTGGCCAGCCACATCAGCAGCACCTGTGGGCATCACTGAGCTCTGATGTCCCAGAGTGGCCCCAACCTGGTGATGTGGGGCGGGGAGATGTGGCAGCGGTGTAGCGGCATCTTGGATCTGATGTCTCTTTCTTCTGTGGCTTTGCTTTTCCTGTTACTGCTCTTGAGAGGTCGCTTGGCAGAGGAGGAGGAGGAGGAGGAGGAGGAAGGGGAGGAGGAGGATGAGGGGCAGTAAATTAGTAACCAGCAGACTTAGCGGGATCTGGGTTTCTCTGTTACTTATCCTGCGACCTTGGTCCAGTGCACTCTGTGGCCTCAGAAGGAAGGGACTGGTGACAGGACACAGGTGACTGCAAGGACAGGCTGGATTGTCCAGGGTTCCAGGAGCTCCCTGCTTGGGCTGCTGCCGACGGCTTCTGAGAACCCCACAGCTGTTTAACAAAGCTGCCCCCGGGGAGCTGCCATGGGCCATGCGGGGAAGGGATGGCAAAGCCCTGATTTCCTCGGGGAGTGAAACGGAGCCACATGTGTCACCAAGCAGTGTGACTAGTGAAGTACACTCTCTTAGGTGCGTGAGTGATGCAGCCTGTCTTTCAGTTCATAATATTCCAAGAGCTTGAAATACAATGCACAAGAGAAGCACAGATCACCTCATTATCTTAGCTTTGCTTTCTATGTATTTCACGTTTTAATGAATTTGTTCGTGTTAGTGAGCTTCCAGCTTGTTATAGTTCGCTTACTTTCAGATTCAACTTAAGACTGACTTGAATTTGTGTTTCTTTTCTTTCCTGCCAAATGACGGCCCTAAGGAAGAAGAGGGAGAGACAGCAGCAGGAGAGGTATGGCTGTGGCTTTGGCAGCTGCGCTTTCCGGCTCAGTAGGAACAGCTGCTAAGCTTGTGCAGCGCACACGTAGGGAAGCTGAACGTGCACAGAGCGTGACTCCGGCAAGGGCTCCTGTGGGCTGCGTGACCTCATAGTGGTGGGAGGACATGAAGGAGAGAAACTCCCATTGCCAAACAGGAGGCCCGAGAGTGACAGGTCCCACAGGCCCCAGTGACCTGAGGGCGGCCCCCCAGGCCCAGTTCTGAAAGTCCCCTCCCGTGACTCCCAGGGCACAGCCTTCATGACCCACAGTGCTGCCGTCCTCACCAGTGGCCAGGGGCCCTGGGCCTGGCCCTAGTGCCGCCAGCTGCTGGATGCATGGGGAAGTCAGGGCTGGGGTATGGGAGGTGAGGGCTCCCCAGGGGATACAGCCCCAAAGCCTGGACCCCTCCCCTTCACTGCTCCTCCTGTAAGCATAAGAGAAACTCACAAGGTTAAGAAAAAGATTATAGGACAGATAGCTTCAGTTTGGAGTGGGAAAGAAACAGAGATCCAGCAAGATAAAAAATTTAAGACAGAATGCCTTACAGTGAGTTTATTCTCTGTCACACACGCTCTAAGATGCTGTGTGGTGTGAGTGCTGTGTGTGGGGCAGCGTGTCTGTGTATGTGGCATGTGGTGTGCATGGGTGTAGTGTAAGTGGTGTGTAGGGTGTGTAGATGTGAGGCACGTCTGAGTGTGAGCTGTGTGTGGCATTTGTGTGGTGTTAGTGTGTGGTGTGTGTCATCAGGACCCCCCAACTCTCCTCGCGGATTTCCCACTGCCCCGTTGTTTCTCCGTCTATCTGTGTCCCGACATGTCTGTCTCTATAACGAAGTGACTTTTGTTGAAGCAGATGGAGGACATCCCAGAGGAGGCAGCAGAGGAGGAGGCCGAGGGAGGAGAGGAGGAGCCGGGCGAGGACTAGGCTCCCCGTGCTGGCCCTGCAGCCTTTCCAGGTATCTGGGGTCCCTGTGCTGTGGTCTGTGTCACCCTGGGCACTGGGGGTCACTGGGTCCCAGCTTACCACCTCTCCCTGCCGGGCTGTGCTGCATACTGTGGGCTGTGATCCATGTGGCCATAGGCTGGTGGCCTCTGTGGAAAACACGCCTTGGGCAGAGAGTATGGTGGCTCCCTGAGACTCAGCCACTGTGGGTAGAGGAGCTGGTCATAGTCATCTGAGAGAAGGCATAGGCGCTGTCCTCTGCCCATGCCGTGTCACCCGAACCCACAGTTCCCTGTCCCTGTCACTTCTGGGAGCTCGAGGTCGGTGTTCTGTGGGTGGCGGGATGGCCGGCTACGGCCACGTGCAGGAAAATCTCTGCCACCGGCCATTCAGTCCTGCGTGCTCCACAGCACGTCCCGTGTGTTGAATACGAGCCAGCGTACTCACATGAGCGTGTCACAAGTGGTCTGACACACTGCTGCCTGGCAGTTTTAAATTCCCATTGATGATAAAAACAGTGAGGTAATTCTTAGCAGTTGGGTCGTGCGATTGTACTAGTATGATGATAGCCCCTAGGTTGCTTTTTGTTTTGTTTTTGAGACAGAGTCTCACAATATAGTCCAGGCCGGCCTTGAATTCACTGTATAGCTGGAGATAGCCTTGAATTCATGGTGATCCTCCTGCCTCAGCCTCCCTGAGTGCTGAGATTACAGGTGCGTGCCCCCACCACTGGCTAGCCTGATATTTCGGTGGTGAGGGAGACTGAGGAACTAGAGAGATGCTTAAGTCCTGTGGGCCGTGAAGACAGGATGGCTTTCTAAATCACATCTGGGTCACTGTGTGCAGAAAAGTACCCAGCTTCCCTGGCAAAGCCCGTGAAAGGGCGTGTTTTAACTGGTGTCGCTGACCTGGTGCCTGGGTTTGTGGTTTATCTATACTGCAATTTTGCTCTAATGCTGCAAAGTTTCTTTAAAAATGTGGGCCAGGCACGGGGAAGGAGAAGCGCTCCTGGGGCCCCGAACGTTAGAACACATGGATAATCTGAGCATTTTGTAGTCAATTTATTTATATATTTAAGTTTTTTAAAAGTTTTTTTTTTTTTTTTTTTTTTTTTGAGACAGAGTCTTGCTGTGTAGTTCAGGGTGGCTTTGAACTCACAGCGATCCTCCTGCATCAGCCTCTTGAGTGCTAGGATCACAGGTGTGCACCACCATGCTTGGGGTTTATTTTTTATTTGAAGAGATTTTAGGGGCAGCATGGCAATGAGTGAACTATGAAAGAATTTACATTTCTGATATTTGGAACTGGAGGCAGAATCTCAGTGGATGCTGTCTCTGGAGAAATAACGCACAGTATGAGATCATGAAGTCTCTCCCAAAAGGCTGCCACGTGGGCTGCTGAAATTTCCCCTTCTGGGGCTCACTGTAAGCTTTGTCCCTCTGCCTCCCGTGGAAATTTACGCAGGGAGCTGTATTGGAGGCCTGGCTTCCTTCTGGTCTTTGCTATGTGTTGGTACAGAGAAAGGTTAGAAAGACAGCTTAGTCTTCCTTTCCTTGTTTGCAGCAAGTGGAGGTTTATCAAATGGAAGGCAGCACTGCTCCGCCCTGGTGCTGCATCCTGCACACTGTGGCGGGGGTTCTCAGTCTCACTTTGATGGTCTCCCCCTGCTATTTTCCCTTTCTTTCAGATTCACAAAGGAACACGTCAAGCCACGAAGCAATATTTCGAGTTACAAAGCAGCATTTCAAATCCTGGAGCAACATTTCAAATGTTTCCGTGTAAAGTCTGTGAAACGCTTTGCCTGGAAGTGTTTGCCTTCTCTTAGTGCGCTGGGCATCCGCCAGCACTTTCGCTGTCCGGTGTGGTTAGATGTACACACATGGCCGCTTTACCACATCCATGTGGCGGTCAGCGTGGAGACCATCCGCACCTATCTTCACGTGCCCAGAACTCTTGGCCTTTGCTTATTTTAATTTTGGTACCTATATGTTTGCTCTGCATGCACAGACCTTATTAGTACCTTGAATCGAATGAGTGCAAGGAATAGAACTTCTCTGTGTGGCAAACGCATGTCGATACAGCAGGTTTCCTGCCCTGTGCCCAGTGTACTTGCCTTAGGCTTAGTTTTGGAAATGATGGTGCTTCCTGGAGAACAACCACGAAAATAAAGATTAAGAGCAGAGTCTCGCAGTGCTGTTTCTGTGTTCACACTCTCCGCCTGTGAGCGCCACCTGTCTGAGACCCTCTGCCTTGGAACAAAGGATCTTGTTGCACTGATTGTGCCAAGGGTCTCGAAGGTCACATCTCAAGTTGTGCCAGCCACTGTGCACACACGTGGTCTCTGGAGCCTTACGCCACGGCAGCTCTGTCACCCATGGGGTAGGGATGACAGTGGAGACGGGGCCATGGCAGCCTGGTGCCCTTGGTACATTTCTGAGCAGCGCGAGTGGCTGCTTCTGTTTCTGTAGCTGAGACAGAGCTGAGACAGAGCCAAAGTGCCTGACTTTATGTTTTCATGTGGGCTGGGGACTAAGGCTTGGTTGGCGGCTGTCACGCTCTGTCCTTTGCTCCCTTTGCCATCCCTAAGGACAGGGACGTCTCACTTCCATGTCCTCCCTGGCTGTCCAGCAGCTGGTCTCCTCTACTCTACCCCAACATGGAATATAGGCATGGCTCTTCCCTGCCTGGTTCTAGCCCCGCCCCTGCCTGGATCCTGGCCCTGACTGCCAAGGCTGCCCTGGAGCCCTGCACCAATCACAGGCCTGCACTTGGACCAATCACAGGTCCGCTGCTATATCAGCAGCCCTCCTGAGTCTAGGGGGGCTCTCTCCACTGTCCTGAGAAAGAATGAATATTGTGGTGAACAATGAGAATAAAGACCAGTTTTAGTGGTTCTGGAAACCTGCTTGTGATTTATTTCTTGGGTCGTGTGGGCTCTCATAGTTCTGTAAATCTGCCTGAGATTCTTATTCTGAGTAGCATGGGCAGAGAGAGGGCTGTTAGCTCTGGAGAGCTCAGGACCAGTGGCCAGGGAGGTCAGCAGCAACGGCAAGAGCCACACGCCAGCACCAGAAGGTGGCAGCCGGCAGGGGCAGAGACCAGCACCTGGCCGTGTCAAATGCTGGCAGGCACCATTCTCTGGTGTCTCCTGGTGACATCAGGATAGAACTGCACTTTGCAAATTTGCGATTCCTTTCAGAGCCAAGCAAAAGGACCCAGGTGCTTTGTAACATTTCTGGTGACCCAGATGGGACGCCTCCTTTTTGACGGTCCCCAGGAAGAGGGTAGACAGTGGTGATGAGCAGCACAGACCTTCCTCGTGGATGACAGGCAGCTGCCGGGACCTTTGCTTCAGGGTCAGGTCCTCTTCCTGGCCGGTCTGGCTGTGCGGCCCTCTCCCACCTCCATCTTGTGACCTGTGACCTGACTTCTGTTGTTGAATCTGCCTTCTTTGTGTCTCATGAGCCACTTTTGTTTGCCTGTTTCATGGTTGAGGTTGCCTGCATTTTTAAAGACTCTCCCTTATTCATTTGGAATCGTGCTTTCTGGGGAATTTACCTAACCTTCCTGTAGGGAGAGTCTTGGAGCACCTGGTATTGGAATTTGGCTAACATAACTTGAAATTTGTTGCAATCTGGCTGTAGGTGCATGCTGGACTCCCGAAGAAGGGTGGGTTGAGGCCCCCAGCTCCATTCCTGTGTCAAGAGATTACAGGGAGGCTGGTGTGTGTATGTCTGCATTCTCTGTGCGGAGCCGTGCACACACAGAACACATCTCAACTTGTTTCTTCCCCTTTCCTCCTTACCTGCTCTCTTCTCTCATCTCTTTATTCCCTTCCCAGAGAAGATCTTCCTACTTCTTATTATCCAATTTTTGTTTTGCTCTTTATTTACATTTTAGGTTTCTCATATAAGAGAAACCATGAGATATTGAAACTTGCATGTCTGATCTATTTCGTTTAACAATAGGGTCTCAGGATGCATCCACTCTCCTACAGATGACTTATCTATCCTTCTTTATTTTAAAAATAAAACAAAGCAAAGGGATAGAAATGATATAGAATTTCAAAAATTAGGAAAGTAACCGTAGTTAATGTGTTGCATGTTATCTTAGAAGTAGTTGTTTGGATTATAAGATTTAGGCGTAAAAAATGATCAAACAATGAAAGTACAAGCTGTTCTTTTTGATAAGCTTAGAGCGATTAGTAGCATAGTTATCTATCATATATACATGATAATCTCATATATATCTCATATATATATGTGGTCCCTTCATCTGTTGATGGGCATATAGGCTGCTTCCAAGCTTTAGCTCTTATGAGTTGTGCTGCTATAAACACAGGTGGGCATGGGTCACTGTAATCTGATGACTTTAACTATTTTGAGATGATCTCTAGAACAGGAATTGCAGGGCTGAAAGGAGTTTCTAGTTGTAGTTTCTTTGGGATGCTCCCTACTGATTTCCACAGGGGTGGACCTGTTTACACCCCACCAACAGTGTCGAGGGGCTCTTTTTCCCTGCAGCCTCTCCAGCATCTGTTGTTATTTGATTTCTTTATGATGGCCACTCTTATGATGGGGTGGGACAGAATCTCAGAATCATTTTAGTTTGCATTTCTGTTATGGCTAGAGCTGTTGATGGTTTCCCACATCTTTAAATGTTTAACTTTTCTTTCTTTCTTTTTTTCTTCTTTTTTCTTTTCTTGAGACAGGGTCTCACTATGCAGTTCAAGCTGGCCTTGGGCTCACTCTGTAGCCCAGGCTGATCTCAAACTTGCAAATGATTCTCCTGCTTCAGCCTCCTGAATGCTGGGATTGCAGGAGTGCGCTGCCATGCCTGGCTTTTTCCTCTAAAATTTTCAAGGACAGCGAATGCTCTGAGTGAGTGGATGCACACACGTCACTTGAAGCACCTGGCGTATGTTCCAGTTCCAGTAGCTTCAGAGACAAAGGTGCCATTTTTTTTGTGCAAAATCTTAAATTCAAAATACAAGTGGGATAAAAAATATTAAAATATTTATTTTTTATTACGGAGGGACAGACACAGTTTTCAATGTGTAATTTATTTTTCCTGGAGGACTATTTTGCTGTGACTGTGTAGAAACTGATACTCCAACACCGTCCCAGAAATACGCACCCTCTTAGGAATCCACTCAACACTTGGTCACTAAGTGGGGCTGAGGGAGGGCAAGTGGTGGCAGGGCCCGTGTTTATCCAGTCCCCCCGAGTTTCAACTCTGCCTTCTAACTAGTTTTGTACTGTTTGGAGAAACCAGCATGGAAAAGGAAGCACCTTATAAAGTCATTGTCTCCACCTCCCAGTTGGCTCCCGTGTCAGCAGGTGTGGGCTAAACTGAATCCCCATCTCTGGAGCCTGGACAGGGGCAGCTGGACTCTTAGCCTCACTGTGGGGGCTCTCAGACCTTCTGCACTGGGGATTCGAAGGGAAGATGACCAGATTCACCCTAACTTTCCTTCACTGTCAGCCCCAGATGAAAATCAGCTTTTCCCTGGTGTCACAGTGACAACCCTGACTGAGCAGATACAAAACACATAGGATGCACAGCAAATCTCCGGAGGGCCTGCTACAGCTGAGATTGAGTCTCACAAACTGTCACTGCTGCACTTCCAAAGGTTTTTTTTTGTATGATAACAACCCCTTTAGCACCAGCTTTCACCAGCATCGCTCCCGTTTCTGGGCAGGTTCCCGGGTTCCCTCCTTCATCGAGGTTGACTAAGCGTGAATGGTTTGTGACTCTTGAGCTCATGAGCCAAGGCCCTAACTGTAGGTGCCATGTGGTCACCAGCTCTGGGGTTTAGCAGTTCTCGATCAAAGGCACACTGTGTGCGTGGGCGCATTTTTTGCTCAGTCTGTGGGCCTCTGAGTGGCACTTCTCCAGTCACATTTGTTTTTGACAAGAGCCCGTGGCATGTTATTTGCTGGCAAATGCTGTTCGCGCTCTCCTACCTGAGATGCCAGCTGGGGACCCACAGCCACACCAGCCGGCTCACACTCGAAGCCCACGGTGTGCACACTGAGAGAACAGTGCTGCACTGTGCTCCTTTGGAGCTGCTCTATCCTGCTGTGTCCTACGACCAGATTTTGACACTCCACCAATGGCCACCACTTGGTCTTGGGAATCCACCCTGGTGCTGGTCTCAGTGCAGTTGTTAAAGTGACCAGCTAGGAGCCACAGGTCAGGTACATCTTGCCCACCCAGAAGTCTCTGAGCATGATGGTCATGGAGAGGTGCAAAGTGGGCCAGAGGCAGAGATCCTGGAGTCCCTGTGGCCATGCCGCTGGCCAGGAAGCTGTCCTCGAGCGATGGTTGCATCCCTGAAGCCATTCTCCAGACCTGCTCCAGACAGGGACACCAGGGAGTTATCACACCACTGCATGTGTGCGCCCAGCCTGCCAGCTCCACCGACCACCACACGACCCGGGAGCGGCTGGTCTCCTCCGTGGGTGATCTAGGGAAAAAGAGGCTGATCTGCGGCACAGCGTGGCTTCCCTATAAATGTGGGAACCAAGAATTCCTGGAAGACAGAGTCTCTGAATTCTAACCCCTTCTCCAGTGAGGTCTCTTCTGTAAAAAGGGAGGGAGAGGCGAGATAGCCTGGATGTCCAGCAGGTTATGAATTTACGCCAGGACCCTGACTGGGGAGCTTCTGTCGCAGCTGTGGCCTCTGCACCCCATAGGTCCCCAGCCCTTGACATGGGCGTCCTCACAGACCCCTGCAGTACCTGATGACACCCCACCCCGTCTCCTGAGTCAGCTGATAGCACCCTGTCCCCTGCTGTGTGTCTGTGTCTCCATTTGTGCCAGCAATCATGACCCCAGCAGGGCTGAGATTGGGAACCCAGTGAGCACCCCACTTCATTTGGGGCCTCTGTTCCCCTTAAGGAGGTGTCAGGTGGGGCTGGAGCCTCATTATGGCACAGGTCCCTCCTCGGGGACAGATGTGGTGATGCACAGGAAGGCTTGGCCGTGTCTCTGAGCATCCTTTGTATTTAGGGCAGTTTATTAAATCCAGCGTAATTTGTTCTGACTGCGAAGGAAATGTTTGCACCGTCAGCAGCCTGCTTCCCTCCTGCTGAGGAAGACAGTTCTTACAAAGCCTGCCAACAGCTGACATCCAACACGGTGCTCAGAGGCCTGGAGGGTAGAGGAAGCAGCGCCCAT